AACAGAACAGAATAGAATAAAGAATAGAATAGAATAAAGAATAGAATAGAATAGAACAGAATAGAAAATAGAACAGAACAGAACAGAACAGAATAGAATAGAATAGAATAGAATAGAATAGAATAGAATAGAATAGAATAGAATAAGGAATAGAATAGAATAGAACAGAATAGAAAATAGAACAGAACAGAACAGAATAGAATAGAATAGGAATAGAATAGGAAATAGAACAGAATAGAATAGAAAATAGAACAGAACAGAACAGAATAGAATAGAACAGAATAGAAAATAGAACAGAACAGAATGGAATAGAATAGGAATAGAATAGGAAATAGAACAGAACAGAACAGAACAGAACAGAACAGAATAGAATAGAATAGAATAGAATAGAATAGAATAGAATAGAATAGAATAACAGAGTTGGAAGAGACCTTGGAGGTCATCTAGTCCAGGGGTTGCCAATCTTTTGGACCTCAAGGACCACAAAACTCATAATTTTAAATCTCAGGGACCACTAATATGAATTTTGACTGACGTTGGTGGGAGAGAGAGAGAGAGGGAGAGGGAGAGGGAGGGAGGGAGAGAGAGAGAGAGATCTGATCTAACCTCTCTCTCTCCCTCCCTCCCTCTCTCATTCACACACACACAAACACACAGAGGCAGGGGTGGAATTCAAATCTATTAACAACCAGTTCTTGGAGTGACCTAATTTGTGGGTGTGACTTGGTGGTCATGTGACTGGCTGGGCATGGCTTGTATGTCATTATTATCAATATTTATGTAAATATTGAATTCTTTATTTAAAAAAGAGCAACTTTTACCCAAAATTAGGCAAAGCAGGCAGGCAGATTGAGTTGCTCACAGAATAACAGATTCATATGTGGTGGACTTGTGAGGACGCTAGAAAATATTGGACTAAAATTCACATATGGTTGGAAAAAATGACAAAGAAACATATAGATTTAAAGCCAGATATTTTTTTATTGGGTATCTTACCTGATATATACAATAAAAATTTGAAATATTTGATTGTAAATGTATTAACAGCGGCTAGGATTGTATTTGCTAAAAATTGGAAGAATGAGAAAATACCATCACAGGAAGAAATTATTAAGAAAATATTGGAATGTGCTGAAATGAGTAGATTGACATTTGAAATTAGAGAACAAGAAGATAAACAATTCTATGAAGTTTGGGACCATTTCTATCAATGGCTAGATAATAAAATACAATAATAGAATATTTAGAACCTTAGGAAACAAAGAATACATATTTCTTTTTTTTATTTGATACTATCTTTATAAAATTCTATTAAGATAGACTTGGTATGACTTTATGATTTGCTATAAAATAAATTAAGTAAACTATAGTTATCTCATTAAAGTATGAACTAACAAAATTATAGTCAAATGATTGTTTAATAATGATATCAGGCTATATAATTGTTGATTGATAATATGAGCTATTATGTAATATAACTACAATGGAGACTGAAATGGATGCACAAAAAAAAGTGGTAAACCAACCGACACACTGTCTGTAAACTCATGAAGGAAAGGATGATGTTTTTATGTTTTATGTGTTTTTGTTTGTTGTTAAAATTAATAAAACTGTTTTTTAAAAAAAAGAATCACAGATTCATTCAGAGATCTGTCTTTCTGCCATCAGCTATCTGAGTCTGCACTGAATAACAGAACCTTCAGTCCTAAGGGAGGTTTGGCTCTGCTTAAAAGCACAGCCGAAGATCTAAAGTTTAGGATAGAAAGCAAGAAATCCAACCATTTCCTGCTTTCTAGCTAATCTAAATCTCCCGGCACAGCAGAACAGCTGATGGTCGGAGGAGGAAAAATAGCAATTTAGCAGGCAAGTTTGCCACGGAAGGAGTGAGTGGGCGGGGAGGGTTCCTGTGGGCCATGTGGGTGGGGCAGACTTGTGTTCCTGTCACCTGGGGGTGACATTTCTCTGTGGACCACCAAAATTTTCTCACAGACCACCAGTGGGCCGTGGACCACTGGCTGGCGACCACTGTTCTAGTCTAACCCCCTGCTCTTCTGAGAAGCGAAACGTCTTCAAAGAAAAACCAGAAAGTCCAGTTGCCTCCCCCAATAGCAAAGAAACAGAGCACAGAACTCCGCTCACTTCCTTTCACCCCTTTCCCAGTCTTCAAAACTCACCCCACGCCCACTCCAAAAGGGCTCCCCTGGCGGCTTTGCACCTTCCTTCCTCTCTCCCTGAAGGTCCCCCGTTGCCTGTCCTCCTTCAAGGCCTCCTCTGTTCTCTCCTGCAGGAGTAAAGGCAACGAACGTGGCCTTAGGAAAGCCGGCCTACCAGTCCTCCGTCCACCCTCATGAGATCCTTGGGTCAGCAGACAAAGCCGTGGATGGGGACTGCAACGGGAACTGGAGCCACGGCTCCTGCATCCGCACCAAGCATGAAGCACAGCCATGGTGGTATGTAGACCTGGGACACTCCTATAACATCTCCACAGTGGTGGTCAAAAGCGTCGAGGACTGCTGTGGAGAACTAATCGATCACCTTGAGGTCCACGTGGGAGACGCTCTGGAAAACCACGGGAGATCCAATGCTCTGTAAGTTGCGCTGAGCCAGCGGTCACCAGGTGTTTGGGGGCTCCGGGTATTTAAAGGTAAAAGGTAAAGGTTCCCCTGGCACCTATGTGCTAGTCATTTCCAGCTCTAGGAGGCGCTGCTCATCTCCATTACAAAGCCAAAGAGCCAGCGCTGTCTGAAGATGTCTCCATGGTCATGTGGTCGGCATGACTAAAAGCCGAAGGTGCACAGAACACTGTGACCTTCCCACCAAAGGGCTCCCTATTTTCCTACTTGCATTTTTAGATGCTTTCAAACTGCTAGGTTGGCAGAAGCTGGGAGAAGTAACAGAAGCTCATTCTAATTCGGAGTACTAGGGATTCGAACCACCGAACTGCCGGCTGTCAGGATTCCAGCAATCGCTCTAATAAAATCATGATTCTCAAGCCCAACTTAAAAAAACTTCAAAGGATTCCTTAGAGGTGACCTACTGGCCCGGCCCTGGATGAAGCCAACTCTGCCCTACATCATTTACAGCCCTCTGGGACCCTGTTTCCCCCCCCCCCACTCCCCTCCCGGGTGTGTCATAAATCAGATTCTCCAACTGAGCCCGTTCACAGGCTGGGTGTCATCCATCACTTTCTCCAATTAAATATATTCGCGGGCAAAAGCTCCGGTAGTTTAGTTACAGCCTTTTAAAGAGAAGAGTTGGAATGTACTTTCGCTTCCAAACTGCCGCGCGGCTCTTCCAGATTTCCTTCCTCTCCCCTCCTCCTGTTTCTATGGCAACCACTCAAACAGGCACAGGAATGTTGGATGAGTTGGCACCGACCTTTCTGCTTGACAAGCTCAGCGTCTTAGCCACTGAGCCACCATGTCTGGGTGTTTGGGGTCACACATAGAATCCACAGCTAGTGTGTGGATGCTTTTGGGGTGCTGTTGAATATGAGGTGTCAACTTTGGCTTAGGACCAAGAGGCCACGGCTCCATTGTGAGTTCACCTCCCTCCTCGCTCCCCCAAGAGACAGAGAAAGGCCTGACTTTTGGGCTGATGCCAGCTGTTCACCTGACTCAATTGGGGTCTCAGTTAGTTTGGGGCCTGTGTGAATCCCACCTGATTGGTTCATTTCTGCCAGCATGTATGTTGCAAATCTAGAACATGGGCTCCTTCAGAACTGAGGTGGAGCACCTGATATGAGGGCACCTGGCTGTGGTAGAAGAGGTTTTTTTTTCTCTGCCTGGGGTTTGGTGCATGGCGTTTTGGTCGCTATTTATTTATCTATTACATTTATATTGCCACCTATTCGCCCGTGGTGACTATACCAAATGTCCCAAAGTGGAAAAGATGCTTCCAAATTATTTTGGGCCAGACCCAGGACTAATAAGTCATGAGGGGGAAATAGCAAATTAGGATGGACTCAATCGTTGCACTTCACTTAGAGAAACTGCTGCACAATTAGACATTTTCCTTGATAAAGCAATGACGGTATTTTTTTAAAAAAACCGTACCCCTATAGTTTTCCCCTTACGCCACCCCTCTGCCAAGCACCTAATGACCACAATACGGTGTTACGTCTAAGGATATTTACCCACGTGGTATGGCTGTATTACTGTTCTCTTTCTCATCTGTTCCACAACCTTCTATTGGTATCATTATTATGATTTTCCTTTGTTATTATGCTTATTTATTCCTTTGTTGTTTGTACGTACATTGACAGCTTCTGCACCGGAGACAAATTCCTAGTGTATCTAACCATACTTGGCCATATAAAGCATATTCTATTGCTATTCTAATTCTATTCTAATTCTATTCTTATTCCTATATTGTATTGTATTGTATTCTATTTCTATTTCTATTCTATTCTCTATTCTATTTCTATCTTCTATTCTATTCTATTTCTATCTTCTATTCTATTCTATTCTATTCTATTCTATT